TTTTGATATTTTTTTTTTCTTCAAACATTTAATTACTTAGATTTTTATTTCTTACAAAACCTTTTAATTTTGTCATTTTGAATTTCTTCTTTTTTTTCTTTAATGTCTTTCGGTAGTTCAAATTCTCAACAATAATATGATTGTAAAGATGTTTGTAATCTTAGGATGTTTGAACTACCGGAAGAAATTTAAGAAAAAAAATAAAGAAACTCAAAATGACAGAAATAAAAAGTTTTATTGAGAAAATTAAAAAAATCTAAGAATTAGATATTTTGGAGAAAAAAATATAAATACCAAAATTTTCCACGTAAAATTGACTGACTGAAAATGGTAAAATATATAGTGGAAAATGGCTCAATATATATATATATATATATATATATATATATATATATATATATATATATATATATATATATATATATATATATATATATATATGTATATATATATATATATATATATTAGAAAAAAATATATAGAGAGGGGTGTATATATATATATATATATATCGGGGGGGTTTTAGATACAAACACCAAAATACGGGTGTGTGTGTGTATTTCTCCCTAAAAATGTGACAATAAATAAAAAATAATCTTTTTGTGTTTAGATACACACAGCGGGAGAACAATTACATATATGTTTTGTCACGCGCAATACATATATATATATGTATATATATATATATATATATATATATATATATATATATATATATATATATATATATATATATATATATATATATATATATATATATATATATATATATATATATATATATATATATATATATATATATATATATATATATATATATATATATATATATATATATATATATATATATATATATATGTATATATATATATATATAAATATATATATATATAAATTAATAAGAAGCTCGCGAGCCGGCGAACAACTAAAACTGGGCTCGAGCTCGAGCTCGAGCTCGAAAAACCCGAGCTCGAGTTCGAGCCTTTGTCGAGCCGGCTCGTCGAGTTCGCTAGCCGGCTCGGCTCGTTTGCCACCCCTAGGCCTGGCCCGCCATTGGCCCAATTTTTTTTCTCATTGCCCATTGCCCAAAAAGGCAAGAACTCAAAAAATCCGTTTTGCACTCTCTCTCCTTTTTATTTTATTTTTTTTTCTTTTTTCCTTGAAAAGAGCTGTAACTTTTTACAGAAAACCCAACAGCTCTTTCTTCACCCCCAACAGCTCTTTTCTCTTTTAACAGTTTTTTTTTTTTGGGGCTTCTTATTCAATCTATAAATACCAATAAATTCTCAAATATTTCCACACAATTCAATCAACTCCCATCTATTCTCTATTGTCAATTTGACATTATCCCAAAGCTCTCTCTAATTTGCTCTAGTTTTCTCTTAGATTTCAAAATATTTTCCACCATATCTCTAGAATCTCCACAATATTTTCTATACACCCGAAGAATAGATTGGAAGGAATTGAAGAAAATCGAGGGAGAAACGACACTCCAGAAGGGGATTGCTTTTCAATTTCTTCAAACCAAGATTCAGTTTGTCCAAATTGGGTTACTTATTTCTTCTTTAGTTTATTTCGAATTATTTTAAAAAATTATTGTTGTTTACTTTAACTATATCATGCTTTGCTATTTGTGAATATATATCGTTAATTATTTGCAAAATTAATTTTTTATTTTAGTTTTTCTTTGAAAAATATGGATTGGAATATCAGCCCCCGTAGCCCTGTTAATGATACAGTCGAAATAGATGGTCATGATACTTTAATTGCTCTGCTTAACGAATCTATGAATTATGAGCATCATACCGATTATGTTCCCGAACCAACTCCCCCTTATACCGATTTTGATTCCGAAACAACTCCATATTGCTCTAAGCCAATCCCGATTATAGATGATGATGAAGAGGATGACAATAATGATTATGATGATGATGTTCAATATAACGGTACAAAACCTAGTGCTAGTAGTAATCTCACCCCACCGATGTCTAAAGGAAAAGGGAAGGGTAAAACTAATGAATCGAAAGAAACAAAAAGAACTTCCATTTGGTTAGAATATTTTAGAATTTCTAAGGATGTTAAAATCGGAAATGATGTGGCCGAGTGTAAAAAATGCAAACATGTTTTATCCGCTAAAGCCAATGCGGGGACTAGTCATCTTAAACGACATGCCGAAAAACACTTGAAAGACATGCAAAATTCTACGACACAAACTCAACTTAGTGACTCCGGTTTCACATCTCACCGAAAGATTGAGAGATCCGAAATTGTTAGGCACATTATACACAAGGGAGATTCTTTCTCTACCCCTAGTCATCCCGCGTTTGTTAGGTTAATGCAACATGCTTATGGCCATTATGATCCACACTCTAGACCAACAATTACTAGGGATTCATACCAGGAATTTGAAAAATTTAGACAAGCATTATAGATTGAGCTTTCCACTTTACAGTGTACAATTCGCCTTACATCGGATGCTTGGACTCCGAGACTT